ACATATGTAAGTATATGTTGTTGTTGTTTTTCCTTGCTATTAATCAATCTTGCGAGTGGGGGGAGGAGGAGGATTGCTTTATCCTCAAACACCCCTGGCTGCTGTTTCATTAATACTCAATGAAATGTGGCTAAATACCTCCTGTGCCATCAGACTAGAACAGATTCTTGAAGAAAACGAGACTGAACTTAACTAGAACTTTAATATTTAGTAGTTAGAGCAGTACTCTAGGCGCACGTGCTGATTGGCTGCTCAAGGTGGGAGGGAATCCATGAAGTGGTACCACAAGACATGTTGGTGATGCAGGTCAACAGATATCAAAATGTCATCAACTTTATAGTAACACTCAAAATCTTAAAATTAATAATTTGCCAAATATACTTTTTTACAATTATCACTACTGAAAAGTGTTTAATCTCTACCATAATTACAGTTTCGCCTTATAAGTAAAACTTACATTAAATCTATTACTTTAATCTCTAGTTCTGATCATTATCATCAACTTTATAGTTTTGGCTTATATCTTTAATCGTATTGTGCATATTTTACAAAGGTAGATGCTGTTAATATAGGTGGATAGTGTTAATATCCCTTAGGACTACATATGTTTTTAAACTTGTCTCAACTTATGTTTATAGTTTTCATCTATATATTTAATTAACACATAAAACTGTGTCAAATATAGGTACCTCCACTTATAAGTTAGCAGGTTTTTTTGGTAGTTTTTTTTTATTTTAATCTCATGTAATTAATGAATTTATGGTAAAAAAATAGTTTTGAATTTTCCAAAGATGTATCAAAATTGGCTTTTGACGAACCTGTCTATATTGCCAGTCTTAATATTGAGTCCTTATATACAAATTTACCATTAAATGAAGTAATTGAGTTAAGGAGTAATTTAATTTTTCCAAACTTCTGATGTTGTTAGGCTTATAACAAAACCTGTATTTATAAAACTATATATTTAATTGTGTTACATGAGTTTTAAAAAGGCAGATGGGGTTTCTACAGGCAGAGGTTGATTTAATGGCCTATTATAGTTGGATAGTCTTACTAAGGATAGTATTTCTATAAGTAGCTGGTGTTACCAGGCATATTGTGCTACTATATATTGTGCTCTTAGGGCAGACTCAGACCATGGTACTATAGGTGGATAGCTCAATAGAATGATGAACTCATCACAGAATGTCTCAACATGTGATTACATCAACATTGTAGTTTTCACTTCTGTATTTATTTATATTAAGTACTTTTTTACAATTATATGCACAAAAAATTATATCACTAATTCATTTTAATAATTAATCTACATACATCCTAAAAAGTTATTTTACAAGTAAAACTACTATTTGAATGAGACAACTATTATAACACTGTTACATATGTCTTGTTTTCATGATGCATTAATTAAACTGAATAAGTTTATTGTTCAATCCGTGTTTAATCAACAGTATTTTACCATATTTGTATAACATACTTTTTAGAATTATCTGTACTGAAAATGACAGATTTTTCATGTTAACATAATTATTTCAATTTTAAGTAATATACAATAATTTAAAGTATATATATACATATGTACCATATTTCATAGTTATAATGTTTGGCTTTATGGATTAAACACACTCTTAATACTCTTAAGCTATTCCTTTATGTATGTAGCTCTGTTTTAGTTATATCTCTAATTTTATCATCTGGTTAATAAACTCGGTAGTAAATCATTCTCCTACAACTAAATATAATGAATAAATGACTTACTGTTTAACCAATCACTTTATCACTACAGCAACTATTTAAAATAGTATCACTTACCATTTTGTAATTTTCTATAGAACACATCGTACAATTAAAATTCATAAAATATGTGGTTTTAGAGTACAGCCTATTTGATATAAATTAACTTTCTTTCTATGTTAATCAAACGCCTGCAATAATCATTGAGAAATCATTACTGAAACTAAGTACAAGAGCCTGATATGGTTAACTCTGCCTTCACAGAAATTGTCAAAAAAGTCAACATATAATCTGTTTATTCAGCACTAAAGTAACTAAACATTATGATCTTACTAAATGTTGCATGGTGGAATTTGATCATTAATGTTTCAGGGTGGACATTGGTCACTACATCTATCAGGTTGGACTTTGGTCACTACATGTTTCAGATAGGATTTTGTTCACTAAATGTTTGAGAGTGGATATTGGTCACTACATGTGTCAGGGTGGACTTTGGTCACTAAACGTTTCTGAGTGGACTTTGGTTACTAAATGTTTCAGAGTGGATATTAGTCACTACACATGTCAGAATTTACAGTGGTCACTAAATGTTTCAGGATTGACTTGAGTCACTAAATGTCTCTTATAGGACACTTGTCATTAAACATTCTAGAATAGACACTGGGCACTTAATGTCTGAGAGTGGACATTGATCATTAAATGTCTGAAAGTGGACAATGGGTGCTAAATGTATGAGAGTGAACATTTGGCACTAAATGTTTGGGAGTGAACAATGATCACTAAACGTTTCAGAGTGGACATTGGTCACTAATCATTTTACAATGGACTTTGGTTCCTAAATGTTTTAGAATGGACTTTAGGGTCAATATATATATATATATATATATAAACATTTCAGAGAGGGCATTGGTCATTAAATGTTTCAAAGAGGACATACAGGTATCAGGTCACTAACCATTTCAGAGTGAACATTAATCACCACACATATCAGGGTGGACTTTGGGCATTAAACATTTCTGAGTGGACATTAGACAATAAACACTAAAGAGTGGACATTAAATATGAAATGTTTCTTGGTAGACTTCAATCACTAAACATTTCAGAGAAGACACTGGTTACTACATGTGGGCATTGGTCACTGAGCATTTCAAAGTGAACATTGGCCACTAAACATTTCAGAGAAGGCATTGGTCATTACACGTTTCATAGTGGACATTAGTCCATAATATTTGAGAGTGGAAATTGGTAACTAAATGTTTCAGAGTGGACACTGGTCACTAATCATTTCACACTGGACTTTTTTTTGGTAAATGTTTCAGAGAGGACATGTGTCACTAAACATTTCAGAGTGAACATTGGCCATTACATTTTTCAGGGTGAAATTTGGTAACTAAACATTTCAGAGCAATCTTTCATCATTAAATGTTTCACCAAAGTCCACTTTCAATACATAAGACCAACAAAAATATCAGGCTATACTTTTGTTGCAAAGCAACATAACATAAAAGCCATTGTAAGAGATAATACCTGTTCTTATCTATGAGTGGTGATTCTGTAATGCTGAACATTATGCAAGAAGAATGTTGAAAGCATTGTCTTTCAATGGTAGGTCAGGTGATTTCTTGAAATTATGATCTCCCTTTTGTTTGACTAACAGTGATATGAATTGCTAATACGACTTAGTTAGCTCTCTCTATCTCTCCCACCCTCACTCCTTCAGTTTGTTATACGAATTTGAGTCCTTTCTTTGTAAATAGTAATCATAATCATAAAAGCCAAGTGTTGGTCAGTTAGTTAACCAGTCACGCTCGATTTCTCCGAATTTCGTGAGTTACTCAAGTCCAATTCTACTTTTTCTTCTATAATGCTTCCTCTTTTGATTGACTGATCCCATTTTAGTTGATTTCAATTGCCAACATAGGTGTAAGTAGCTCCTAAATATTGGCACTATTTCTACTATATAAAAGCTTGTCAAGAAGAGAGTTTTTATACCAAGGATTTATTTAGCACTGAGTGAAATTAATTTGCCATTTGTTATAAAAAGAAGTTTTTGAATGATGATTGAGTATATGCAAGTAATGTGGTTTTAAGACAACTACTGCAATAATGCAATTTATATGATAAGAAAATAACTGTGATCAATACATGCTTAAACAAGGATCACTGCTGGGAAGAGACACTCTTTAGGTAAAGGAGATATTGCTCATGATAGGCTTTGGTTTCCTGAAGCTAGAAGGCTCTTTACTTTCTTCTTATGTCTGTTTACAGGCACCAAAACTGCAAATGCATATTGGAGGATTCAAATTTGGTTTCCTGTCATTTTTTATGGACTTTTATACTAGTATTCTCATAATGTTTAACCTGTAAGGTTAAATAAAGCTTATTAAACAGCCTTATAAGTCTTTTAGAAGAGTATAAAGAATTAGCTACAAAGTAAAGGCACTGCCCCTCGTCCTGTACACATTTATTTTGATTTTGTTTTGGAATATAAATAAATACAAGGAAAATAGTTGATGAAAGATGTCACAGCCCATCCAAGGAAGAATATTTATAATGCAAGAGTGTAAGTCATGTACAGCCAAAGAAAACAACATTTCAAAGAAGAGAAGCTTCAGTATTCTTCATGAAAGTGGAAGAACTGACATAGTACAGCATTTAGAACATGCCCCAAATCAATACTCTTTCACAATTTGAAAGTTGTGGTCATAAAATAGAACTTTTCATCTATCCTAAAAAGAAAAAGGCTACAAGATTTTGTAATAGTTACATGTAGTTTAAAATAACCAAACCAACCATGAGTTTCCCACGAATCCTGAATTTATTCCTGGGACTATTTAATAGTTTGAGTAAAAACAAAGGTACTTATAAGTTCAATTCCACTATGTTTTTAGAATTTTAAAAAATTTGTATTAACAATGGAGCTTCAGATAGTCATTTGAATATATATTCTGATGCATTAACTTAAATCTTATTTTTGCAATACCAAAGTTATTGTATGTGCGTGATATATTCAAGTAAACTAAGTTAAGCATCAAGACACCGGAAAATTCCATTTGATAATTGGTGTTTCAGTCTAGACATCAATCATGAAGTACTGCTAAACCTCTTACTAATTAGATTGTGATGCTAAGTGTAATAAGATTGAATACAAAATGAACAATATTTATCAGCACACTAAACGCAACCTTGGTATTCAAATTCGATGACGAGGAACCCACTTTGAGACTAATAATGGCTGGAGACGGCTTGAATGGGTAATGAAGAAAACTTTAATATAAGTTTAACATAACAGCACATGTACAACGTTTCGACAAGGTTTTGTACCTGATGATGACCAAGAACTGAATGTGCATATTACACAAATATAGAACAATGGTACAATGTTTTCTGTATCAACACTTTTAAATCTCCATTTAACACACCTTTTTTAACACACTTTCTTCTTCTTTGAGACCACAGGAAATATTCTTTGCACTGACACATATGGGCAGCTTGATTACAGTTGGTGTCTTTATCAATAAATGAGCACTGATCATTAATCTCACAAGAGGTATTATGGTGGCTAGCTGAAAATCAAGTAAACATACACACAAGTTAAAAAAATTAAATCAGCTTTTCTTTCCAAATAGCCAACTTTCAGTGTTCTTATAATTGTCTAAATAAAACAGAATCTCGATCTTGTAAAGTGCCAAAATTTGTTAAAAAATATATTATGAATAATGCTTATAAACAAATATTTATGTACATGTGTGTACTTTATATGTTTGAATGTGATTGTACCCTTTGATACTAAACAAATAACTCTAATGTTATATCTATGGTTTTTTATTGATTTCACAGCAAAGAAATTCACTATGAATTTTCATAATTTGAAGAAATAAACTCAAGAGCATAGACTGACCAAAAATATATATATAGACTATTTTTACTAGCTACAACCCTTCTGAATCATCATTTTCCATTAACCATTATGATTTATATTAGTATTTACAAATTTGTAAATGTAATGTTAATGTTGCAATATCTATTATTTACAAGTTAGTGTATTCAACACAAAATATCAGTGATATACAAAATGGACGCAGCAAAAATAATATTCACAAAAATATTTGTTATACGATACCAATTTTTTTAATGAATCCCCACAGATAAATTTATCTATTAAACCAGCTTATGCCCCTGGAATTTATAGTAGAAGTAGTACAAAAATCCACAAATGAAAGTAAATCTTTTGAATCAAAATTATTATCAACCAAATATATATATTACCATTAAAACATTTTTCTGTAATACAAAAGGAAACAATGGTCTAAACAACACGTAAATAAAAATATATTCAAGATAATCAACTTAATGAGATCAACTATCAACTACAATTTACTTGACAAATGTTGAAACTTTTGTTAGTATCTACAAATCTTATGTACCAAAATCAAATATGAAATTATTTTACTGTTCTTAAATGTATAACATGAAAAAATATTTCTATATTGCACAGTAAAGTATTTCATTAATTGAATAATAGTGAAAAAGTATGGTAAAACAACCATCTTTGAGCACACCATACATAATAAGTCACCACAGTCTTTTATCCCAATACTGTACGTAACATGTCTCATTAAAAATAAAAATAGACATAAAAGTGTTAGGTTTACATGTAAATCTTCCATGAGCTGTATTCCAAAAACGTTCTTATATCTTATGGTTCAATTGGAATAAGTGTGACAAATAAAACATATGAAAAACATGTTTGTAAAATCAAAACATTATTGATCATTATGTGTGCTTACCAGGCAGACAACGTTGTTTGTTTGGTACAGGATGATCATAAGGATAGGAGCAGATAAATGTTTTGCAAATAACATGACTTTCTTTACAATCGTCATCCAACTCACATTTTTCCCCAATTTTGAGCTCGCCTATCAAAAATTTGTTTGAATGCTTAAGTTGATGAAAAAAAAAGTATATTAAGGATGGGAGTTTATTGGGTGAAGTGAAAAATGTTAAATAATTAGGCCTTGACAAAAACTTATATTACAGCACACAACAACAATGCAAAGAAAAAGACAAAATGAATTCTAAGCCTGACAGGCATATTGGCATACTAAGAACTCTTTGAAATTCTGGCCATATAGCAAGTAATAAAATGATAACTGATATTTGTAGAATTTGAGACAAAATAAATAGTTATATCTGTAATATACAAAAAGATAGATGATGCCATATGTAGTTATTTGTTATATTTAGCATCAGTTAAATTCTTCTACAACAAATAAGGTGAAAAAACTGATTCCTTTCATTAATTATCATTTCTTGGTTCAATTGTCTCTTCTCAAGTGAAATCATCTTTAGAGGCATCAGAAATTTTAATCTATAAATTAGCTATTTTAATTCATTATTACAAAGACATTTCTGAACACTACATGAAACTCTGTGCTTATGTCCATTTAATTTACAGACTAATCTTATAAACATTTGAAATATTTTTTTAAATTTAATAAAAGTATCTTACTAGAAGTGAAGTGATGTTGACAAATATCTTTCTTACCTGTCCAAGGACAACCTGGTTTCACATCACCTTGAATGTCACTCTTTGAATGATGTAGCCCATGAAAATCACCATTAATGATGACATCACCTATACATCCCTCATATCTTTCTGGACATTTCAAAACTTCTTTTGTTATGTATCCTGTGTTTCCACCAAACACGACATATGATATATCAGTGTGTTTGTTAAAGCATAAGTTCCACTTCACTGACTGAGAATTTTCTCTGTTATTGTTCATAATTAATACTTTTGCATGTTTGGTCAATTCTATTTTAATTCTGTGCCAATGGCTATCACTAAAATTTTGAGACTTAGAAGTAACTGAAAGGTTCTTAAGTTCTGGATCACCTGCTTTGAAAATTTGTAGAGTTGGACATCCATGTATTAAATGTATCACAAACTCAAGAAGTTCAAACTGTCCACTGCCATATGCCAAGACACCATTTTCTTCTTTTGTGCGGAATGAAAATTCTAAACTAAATTTTTCAGGATCAAATTTCAAATCTGAAATACTCCATGAACCTTTTCCTCTAAATACGACCATTTTCTTGGGTTTTTGGACCTTTTCCAGTGGTCTTTCTGCTAAACAAAAAAATATTATTAAATATATTTAAGAAATATTCGATAATTTTAAAACACCTTTGTTCTTTACAATCAAATTAATTTTTATAATATTTATAGTCTTATTGTAAGCGCCAATATACTTTTTGGTTTAAAGATTTAATGAACTATTGTATTTATAGACCTTCTAGTCTAACATCAGTTGAGGTAAAAGTTTGATAAAGTCTGATAAAAGATGCTTTGCAAAGTCATTTAACAAAGTTTAGAATTTTATTAAATACTCATTTAAATTTGCATTAATGACAGATGAAGGAATATACAATAAATTACTTAAATTTGCTGATGATATTAAGGTCTTGGGTGTTGCTAACTGTGAAGAGGAAGC